AGAGAGAGAGAGAGAGAGAGAGAGAGAGAGAGAGAGAGAGAGAGAGATAAACATTATATAAATTTAATCTTAATTCTTCAAATATCGTGATTAATGTCAAGAGTATTCAGAAAATTAAATATGACGAAATATCCATCACGTGATGAAAAAGTACTCAATCTATTAGAAGTAAATATTTAATATTGAACAATTTCGTTTACTGTAAAATATTTATTACGATATTCAAACTTTGATGCTTGGAATATTATGTTTAGAATTATTTAATTAACAAACTATCTTACAAAATTTTTTCATGAGTTTTTAAGATGATTTTATTAATAATTAAATATTCATTTATATTTTCATTTGTAATTAAATTCAAAGATTTATCTTAGATTCTAATCGAAATACTCGTTTGAATTTGATTACAATTTGTTTGTAATCAGATTTTCAATTAAATGTGATACTATTGATGAAAAACGTTTTTTTTTGCTTTTAAAAGAAATATATTCTTTCCCACGCATTTACATATGAGAATGTATTGAAAGAAGTTTTTCGTAATAAAAATGAATATTATTCTCAAGAGAAAAGCAATCATTTGAGAAATTCTTGGTCATAGTAATATACTTGGATCTAATTACATGTTTGCAAAGTCATATGTTAACTAGATTTAATCCCACTACGCTATTTAATTACAAAAATGTACTCATGCCTACAATGTTCTTTTGTCTTCATGTTAATTGGAATCGTATATAAACAAATAATATATTCATATTCTGTTGAGACATAATTTACGACATTCATATTAGTCAAGTTGTCACTCAAATTTTCTTTATATTTTCTTAATCAAAGAACAAGTTTAGTTCACTTAATTACGAATACAAGTAATATTTGTTTTTTTAAGTTGAACGATAGAATTAAATATTTTTGTCTAAAATTTAGATATTCTTTTTTTTTTTTATGAACAGAATTAGATATATCTATTTTTTTTCTTATTACAATGTGCTATTTTATTTAAAGAAATTGAACGTTTCTGAAGAAATTTTATCATTATAAAATTTCACTAACAGACATAATAAAACGTTTAGTATATGAAAATTTGTTTCCAGATAATTAGTAATGACGTACATAATAAATCTCATATAAGATTTAATGAAAATAGAAAAGTTGTTTTTTTCTACTAGATAATCTAATTCGGAAATGATTTTTTAAAAAGATTTAGTATAGTATTCTGTTTATTGTAATTATTTTAAAAAACCTAATTTTGCATAAGTAGATGCTTTGGCTTATAACTCAATTTTATTACTTCATATAAGCTAGATTAACAAAATCTATTTTTATAATCTTTTTCAATTTTCATCATAATTAGTAAGTGTAATGGCGCATAAAATATACTGAAGAAATAGATCATCTTTTCATAATGTATTATAATAATCTTCTAATAGCGTGTGAGGTAAAAGTTTTTTAGTAACGTTCCTTTCTTCTATATCTTAGTATAGTACTATTGTACGAAACTAAATTTTGTTTTTAAAGATCCTATATAAACTTCATTTACTAACGAGAGAAGTATTCCAACTAATTAATTACTTTTGAGCCGAAAACATGTGAATCATATAGACCACAATCGATTATGAATAGTTCGATGAGAATTCAAATACATAGTTTATTACTGTCGACAGAAATACACCAGAAAAACTGATTTTCGAATTTCAACTTGAAATTTTACAATTGAAACAAGCATTGAGGAGAATAGAGTTAATCGTGAAAGTATTAGACCATTTGATCTGTTCCTTTCCTGAGATAAGAACATTGAATCTATGAAAGTATACAAGCGATGTAAAAGAATCACTTTCACAATAGTTGTATCTTGGGATAGAAACAACGAAAATATCTGAATATCTCATTAGGATTTACATAATGTACGTACTTTCGGTTCAAAAGTGATTAGTTCGCTGGAGAACTTTTTTCGTAAGTATTTTAATGTCGTATATCGGCTTTATGTTATGTACTAAGTAAGATGACGGAGAAAAGTTTAATAACAACGTTCTTTTTCTATAATGTTAAGTACCTAGCTCATATCTAGATAGTAGTTTTAACAGTCAACGGAGTTTTCTATTCAATGGATTTCATATATAGATTTCTATATAAAAAAAAAGCAAATACGATAGTTTTTACGTTTGAGCAAACTATTTTTCTTAACGATGCTATTTTAAAGAGCACAAAACAAGGGCACAACACATTTTCTATGACCTTCCTTTAAAAAACTTAAAAGTATCACAAGAATCGAAAAAAAAGGTGTTGTATAGTCGATTTTTTGATAAATTTCAGTTTTTGTGATACTTGTAACATTTTAAAAGAAGGTCGCACTATCAACTATTAAAATCTACTATCTGGATTTGACCTAATTGCTTATTTAAAATATCTCAAAGTAGGAAACAATTAATAAAATATGTTCTATAGAAAAAGATTTCCAACTGTTTGAAATATTTCCAGTATAAAAAGTATTTTATTATGCACGATTGAAATACTTTATAAAGGAAAAAAAAATTAGTAGATCTTTAAAATGTTCATCTATTATAATATAGAAGCAACTCAATGAACTTAATTTTGTTGTCCTACGCATTAACTTTATTTTGTGGTTATTAGATTTTAAATACTTTTATTAGTTTTCATACATTCTTCTTTTCTATTAAAAAAAAATGACGCTTTCATTATGTTTTTTCGGAGAAGCTTAGAAAATTTAATTAATTATCATAAAAAAAAAAAGACAAGTCTTTCTCTAGAATGATGAATTTATTTTTAATACGCATTTTCTTTTGTTATCGATAGTTTGACACTCCTTTTGCTTTTTTATACTTCATGCGAAACAAAAACTAGCAATTGAGATATGTATTGTATGGTTTTTTTTTCCTTTGGTGTTTCAGATAATTGCAAAGCTATGATCCCGAATCTCAAAATTGCATATCTATTATTGTTGATTGTTCTTATTGATGTCGGTCAAGCAGCTTTTAGTAAAGTGCCACGTAAATAAATCTTTTAAAATAAAATTAAAAAAAAAACAATGATTCGATAAATTTATTTTCTATAGCACCACCAAGACGTCCAGATCATCTTCTTTCACGAGAGGATTTGAAACAATACTTACAAAAAGTATTATTTTTTTCTTTTGGTAGAATACCAATGTAATTGATTATTCATTTTATTATAGGTTCATGAATATCATTCAATTCTTGGTCGATGGCGTCTTCGACGTGAACTTGATAAACTTTCATCTTTGCATACTTTCAATGATGATGCAATGAAATATTTTGACGACAATTATGATTATATTAAAACAAATATATAGTTGCTCAAAAATGAAAATAAATAATTATATAATCATCTAATTATAAGTACATACCAGTACTCGTATTTTTTTTCTTTCGAATGTTTAATAAATATTAACTACTTGTAATTTATTTTATTTGTAGTAAACTAATAATATAAAGATTTCAAATCTGAATGAAATATTCATTTATTAGTTTCTCTAATAAAGTAATAAACTATTCAAAGATAAAAATTTTATCGATTATCTTTTGATATATCATCAAATGAATTTATTTTTGTTTTTAGAAAAATTTCTAATTAATTTCAGTAATTTTTATATGTGAATAGAACATCCCCTAGGTTCAAGTTAACTGACGTATGATGTAGGAAAAATAGATTATGAGATTTATTCAATACATTTGACATTATATACTTATTGGAAATGACAGATTTTTATTAGTATATTCTGAAATATGATGTTTGAAAGAATTATATATATACTTTACTTTAAGTATTTTGTTTATGACATAAAAGAAGTATTTTTAATCTAAATTTACTTTCATAGAGGAAAAAAAACCTAGTAATTCATATTATATTTTATGTTTATTATTTTAAACATAAATTTATTTTATGGATAATATTCTGTTTTCATCAGAATATACTATTAATTCAAATTGATTTTCGAATATCATCTAATGTCCACGCCAGAATTAGAGAGAATTGTGTGTGAGTGTAAGCTTAAGAACTCAACAACGGCAACAGCAGGCGGCCTATTCTTTTCAGCAATCAAAAGAGGAGAACTTGGAATGTCTTTTTCTCCAATAATGTGAAAGATGAAATCCTTTTAAAAATAATCATCTTCAGGAAATATTCAAAAAAATACATGAAAACGGTCTATTATTTGAGCAAGTCAATACATAATTTAATATTTTCAATGTCGAGATATTAGAAGATAATCATTCGTATTGTATCTTAAACTATAGATCTGAACTTTCTCTATCTAATCCATATGTCAAAATCTCAATTTCATCGAAACGGCAGACTATTTTCATGTATTTTTTCGAATGTTTCCTGAAGATGATTAGTTTTAAAAGAATTTTGTCTTTCACATTATTAGAAAAAAAGGCATTCCAAATTCTTCTCTTTCGATTGCTGAAAAGTACAGATCGCTAGCTATTGCCGTTGTTGAGTTATTAAGTTTACATCCACCCCCCCCCCCCCCCCCCCCCCCTTTAATTCTGGCGCAGACATTAGTTGATAGATTCACATTAGATGAAACTTTGTCATCAGTAGTTTTCTATTAGTATATTATCAATTGATTGATATTTATTTATATTAAATACATAAACTGATCGTATGTAAATTTTAGATTGTATATATATGAGTAGGATTTACATGTCAACAAGTAAGAATTGAACTTATCAAGAATGAAAAAAAAAGGAAATATTTAATTTAATTAATGAAAATATTCAAGCATACAACCACAGTTATAAACAAATCAATCTATTTGTTTTTTAAATTAAAATTAAAATTAAAATTAAGTTTAATTTAATAATCACTTGAGAAAATAACCTTTTTTTCTGGATAACTATATGATTTGTAATTAGATGTATATTTCAACATTGATTCGAATTTTTTAAATCACTTAAAATCTCAATCTTATTGAATTTTATTGGCGGAATATGTGAAGACAAGAGTCGCACGTACATCCTTATATCAATTTTATCCTTTTTTTTTCACTTGCATAATTATTAGCTAACTAACATTTTATTTTACAGGCGAAAGAGAAATGAAACTAAGCGTTACTCATCAACGCTAATATTCAAATTACTCAATGAAACATGCAAATAGTTAGCAGCAATAAGATAAATGGCGTGATCCAACCTGACCGTACCGAAATGAACTTCATTTCCCTATACTTTTCATATTAAAATGAATTTTCCAGGATGATCCAACATGAAATGAGAATTTGTACCCGTCATATGATGAATATTTCATCTGTACCATTGCAGCAGTATTCTTTAGCCTGTACTATTTATTACATAAAGATATACAGAAATTGAAATTTATCGTGACCACATTATTCAAAGACAACCTCGTTATAAATATCCCTACCAACATTATATATTCGACTTTCAATAATTTATTAGAACATTATACTAAATTTAGAAGTCACTAACATTTATTTTTCAAATTATAAAAATACTTGGCAAAAATATAATACTTTTTTCTTTTAAAATAGCACAATTAGAGTCTTTTAGAACATATCTTATCAAAATAGTCTAAATACAATTAACTATTATCAGTCTTGATGAACTGCTAGAAAACTTATCGTCCATGATTAAAATTATGAATTAATAATTTAATAAGAAATTTTAATGCATTGAAATCAGTTAGTTCTACATTTAAAGCTCTCAACTCGTAATGCATACGTATAGAAATACAAATAATCTTCTGTATAGATATAATATTAAAAGTTCAGTTGTTAAACACAATAACTTGGAGTAACTTACAACACAAAGTACTTCAATAATCATTAAAATCTTTTATGTTATCGACTAGTCTGATCGGCATATCAAAAGCATTTTAAAAGCAGCCAGCAAAATCTCAATCACATCTAATGATGACATAAGATATAGAATTAAATGAATACTTTAGTAGATACATAATTCAAATAGTAATCATGCAGACAGATTGAGAAATAAATGAGTTTGTATGTAGCCTAATAGGTATGTGTATTTTTAGGTTAGAAAAATAATGTTGTGAATAGATAATGAATAAGATATGAACTTCGATAATCATTTACAAAAAGTCACGTATATAATGATCATTTTGTGTTAAATTACTTTTACTTAATGCTTGCACCAAGGGTATTCTCATTTAAATAAAAAATGCATTCAATGTTATCCTCAAGGATACTCTAAAACGTGTGAATAATAAAATATATTCCCTTTTATAGATATTAACAACTATAAGTTTCATTCAAGCTTTTTAGAAAATCCATAATTCTATAATCAGATCCTTGAGCATCAACAAACATTCATACATAAGTGACAATTACTAGATTTTTATTAAATTGATTGAACAGAAGAACTATTCCAGGTAAGAAAAAAAGCTTTTGAGATGAAGCTTTCTTCATCCGATAGAACATATTGAGACTAAACAATGCCAAGAAAGAATCATCTCCTTGAATTTTCTTTCTCGACTTATATCCAGCTTCTTAAATTTTTACATCTATATCAAGATGAGAGATGTGTGAAACCAAAATTCGAAGATTTCTCAGAGCTGAATAGAGATTAGCTCGGACTGAGACTAACGATTACAGTTAAATGTTTTGATTGTTTTCAGAGAATTGTATTATAAATCATACCTATCAAAACAAACTCAAGAGAGAAGACTAAAAAAAAGTGGCATTAGTTGGTTAAATCAATCGAATTTAGATTTTTTTCATGAATAAATTTTGAAATTGTATCCGTTTGGTCTGCATTAAGACTAAAACAGACACTTGATGCGGCATATTTCTAATCAAGATATATTATAAAAAAAGTCCAATATTGAAATTTTGATCTCAAGTTTTTCAACTAATCTCATTGAGAACTTTATGCGCACAAAATTTAAAGTCGAAATTCGATTTTCCACATGATCTGTGGGAAATGAAAAACCGATTCAAATTTCGATATCGCAACAACAAAGGTTTGAGAAAATCAAACCATTCTACACTTTTCTATTACTCATGAAATCAACACAGCTCCTGTAGAAAAGCAATTTGACATCTGGAGAGGTTCTCTCGTCAGTATTACTATACGTCTTGTTCAAAATGAATATTTCCATCCTGAATTCAAGTTTTTAGAATATACCTTGATGTAAGTCAAAAAAAAATTAGGAAATTGATTGTCACTCGATAAGAAAGATCTCGCAAAATCATATAGAAGAAAATGAAAATGTAAATCGAATAAACTTAAATTGTAATTAGATGGAACAATTAATTATCATCTTCAAAGAATTCAGACTTTATTTGCTTTTATTGTAGAATTTTAAAATTTTTTACTTGGATAATACAATCAAAAATTTCATTCAAATATTTTCATTCTTCAATTAATATAGAACATTTCTTGTTCATGATAATACATTGTTAATAGATAAACAAATTATTGTATTGTTATTATTATAAGTAATTATATTTAATTGAAGAAAAGACCATCCAAACAATGCTGAAAATAAATATCAACCAAGGTTCTAACTACAAATCATGCTTCTTTCATCAATGGCATAATTGAAAGAATCAGATAATGCATATTCATGGTCAACTAAAAGTACTAAAAATCTCATCCGGATGTTATATTCCATCTGTATAAAATGAATATTTAGTTTCATACAAAATCTTCTGAACTATTCTCATTACTATATATATTCCACATAAAGTTAGGTACCCATCATGTGTAAATTAAATATAAGTCATACATGATCATTTTAAATAAGAATAATCAACAAGTTATTTTATTTATATGTTTTTTCAATCATCTAATCATTGTAAAGTATATACATATTCAACTCATACACTTTCTTTTTTTTAATAGCACGTATATCAACTTAGAGTATCTAAGAAATCAGTGTATTATTATTTTAAAATATTTATCTATATATTTTTGTTACGTATAACATAACCTCGAAACTTTACTGATAGTTACTTATAAAATTTTTATCATATTTTTGATAAGATTTATAGTTAAATAGAAAATTTTTTCATTATCATATTTAATGATTAGTATAACGAATAGAAAAGAAAAATTTAAAAGATTATTTTTTTTATTTGTTCTTTTTATCTTTAATGAATATCAATAATTGAAATATTTCGATTGATATTCTCTTGAACATAATAATATTGATTTCAAAAAATATAAAAATTCTTATGAAACAATCAAAGCAAGTAAATATGTCACTTTCATATTAATCTAAGTCTACATGCAATAATCAAGAGACTTAATAAATTTCTTTTTTTTTTTAGTCGAGTTTTTATTCATTAGTTTTGATAAAGAAGAC